CCTCTTTGCTCATGTCTGGCAATGTTGCCAGCAGTTCTTTTGGCCCTAGGGACACAACATCTGGTGGTGCACGTGGCTTGGGCTTGGCCTTGGCTAAAACCTTTGCTCTGTCTTTGGGGAGATCGAAGGTAAAGTGAGCCGGACCCTCAACAACATCCCAATGATCTTCATCAGGTTCTTGCCGCTTGTTCTCAGCCATGCGTTGGTCTGGCAAGAGCTTGTGACCGCACTGCTGGCAGAATTTGGCAGTCATTGCCACTGGCCAACTGCATGAAGGGCAAGAACCAGGAGGTGGAACTGGAACTTCGCTGCTGCCAGATCCCACCATGAAGGTGAAGTGAACTCCATTGGGTTTCTTGTGTGGTGGATCCTGTCCTGACTTCACATTAGGACACTCAGCATCCCCCTTCCAATGCCCAACCAAACCACAACTGGAGCAGGTTGTTACCCGTTTTCGGGCATCGGTGGATTGCTCTTTTCCACCGCTCTTTGCAGCAGGCCTCCAACCACGTGACTTTCTCACTTCAGAGGTTTTCTGCTTTGCCTTCCAGCCTGCTGCAAAAACTTCTTTGAGCTCCTCCTCATCAATTTCGCCCTCGCTATTGCCTTCTATCTCTTCATCCTCTGCACCTTCCTCACCTTCCTGCCTGTCTTCAGGCTCCTCTTCGGAACCTCCATCTCCCTCTTCTTCACCTTCCGCCTCAATCTCTTGGTCTGCCACATGTGTGTTGTTTATCTTTCTTTTGACAAACACCTTCTTCTTGAAGTGAGAACTGCCTTTTGTGTGTGTGCTCTCATAGCGAGGCTCACGGGCTGGACCACGCTTCTCATCCTCGTGTATCCTCCCACACCGCACTCTCAGAGCATTCTCGATCTTCAAGCTTTCAAAACAAGCACCAGCAGCATAGTAGCAATCCAACCTCTCGCGTCGGCTCAAAGACGCACGCTGGAGAAGTTTCTGGCCCCATGCCTTGTCAGAAATGCGCGTCTCTGGATCGATTCTGTAGTATTGGGCTCGCAATCTGCGCATCTCAGCAAGGTAATGGGCCATAGATTCACCAGGCTGGCGCCTGCATTTCTCCAATTCTCTGTCAGCACGCTCAAATAATTCAGTCTCTGATTCTCCAAAAGCTTCATCCAAAACTTTCCAAAGCAAATGAAGGCCGCCAGAGCCTGTATAGGCGGTGATTGGATGTTGCTCTACAACATCTCTCGCTTCTTTTCTGGTGGACAAGTACACCAGCATGCTCAATTCTGCACTTTCCAGGCCATACAAATGTTGCTGTGCTTCGATTGCACGTTTCCACTTGAGATACCTACTGCGATCACCATAGAACTCTTCAATCTTCACAGACCCTAAAGAACTCTTGGGACGACTGTCAGTCTCTCTATGCATCCTACGTCGCAACATTGAACGCACCTGCGAAGTGGCTGCTGAAGAGCTCTGTGCTGACTCACCGCCATCGCCATCACCATGGTCTGAAGGTGGCTGGTTTCCAGCAGCATACCTGGGCTGAGATTCTGGTCTGCTTGGGGTGGTAGGTTTGGACCATGTACTGGTTTCTGGTGGCACCTGGCCAGTGACCCCAGCACCATTGCATCCACCGTTCACTCCCATGTTCCCCATGCAGAACCCGCCAGAAGCAGATGGCTGGCCCATTGGAGCTCCAATCCATGGGTGCCCAGGATAAATTCCATGACAAGGGGGATAACATCCAAGAGGGACAGAAGGACCGTGAGGATAAATTCCGGGATGCCAAGGAAAAGGATGAGGCCAACCATGATAAACACTTGGAAATCCGTGAGGTCCAGGAAACCCAGGGGGAGCATGTGCACTAGGATGGGGAGGAACTGGAAAACTTTGATGCAACTCTGAAAACACTGGTTGTGTGGGACCTGACTGACCTTGTTTGGGAAAACGTTGCGCCTGCCCATCATGTCCGCCAGTCGTCCCACTCTCCCTTGGTGGATCAGCTACAGAAGGAGTTGCCCATGGATCTGTTCCGTCAACCCAAGGGTCTTCTTCCCCCTCTGAAGCCCACTCATCATCCAGAGGCACATCAGCGCCCCCCAGAAGCTCCGCAGCTGTAGCAGCCGCCTCTGCCGCCGCCATGCCGCCAGTCACAGCCGCCGCAGCCGCACTAGAATCTGCAGCCGCCGCCCCCGCCGCGCTAGCATCCGCAGCCGCCGCCGCCGCCGCGCTAGCATCCGCAGCCGCCGCCGCCGCCGCGCTAGCATCCGCAGCACTAGCAGCCGCCTTCGCAGCCCCGCGCTTTGGCCGCCGTTCTTTCGCCGCCATCAAGGCGTCACAAGCAGTGCAGCAAGCAGCCTGCTTATTGACCGCCCTCAAGCGCCGCTACCAATGTGGATGGGGCACCACTCCCAACAAAAGATTCCCAGAAAAGGGGGCTTCCCCAAAAGAGAACCACGGTGCAGGGATACACAGCAATGCAGGCAAGCAAAATGGGCAAATGCAGTCTTTTGCCGCTGAATGAACATCGATGTCTTGAGTGTTAAAAATGCAGCCGGATGGAGCGATGCGAAGTTGCACTTCTCGATTTGTTGCACTTCTCGATTTGTGCGCACCTGGCGATGAGTCAAGAATCAAGCAAACACTGCCCTCTGCACAGTTTTTTCTTGATGTTTTTCCCTGCTTGGATTTTTGAAACTTTCCCTCTCGGTCAGGCAGCGGAAACCTCGCGCTTACTGAACACCAATGGACAAAGACAGGCAATGCTTTTGTATGTCATGGTATGTCCTGTCTGGCCCTGTCCTTGCTGATGTGACACTGCGCTGTCTTTGATGATTCAAGTCATCTGAACATGCATTTCAACTTCACAAACACATGAGATGCTTCGGCAGCAGATCCCATGAACACATATCAGAGCGCTGTTCAATGAATGTGGAGTGCCTTGAATTGCGCCAGTCCGTTGGCTTCAAGCTAAAGCCGAGCATCCTCTGAGTGGCTTTGCCTTAAAACAAAGGTCTGCCGCTCATGACTTTCAATACTGTGCCCTTGTGCACTGTCGGGTGCGCCGCGTGCGCGTGAAGTGCCTTCTCACATGGAGAGGCAAAGATTGTCCCAAACCGAGCCAAAAAGAAAGACATAGAAAGACTGCCCGAGCAGATCTGCTCGTTCTTTGATGTTTTGCCCATTCAATGTTCTGAATTCATTGCTGGACATCAATGCCAACACAGGACAAAGAGATATAAAGGCATCAAGGACAGCAAAGACACAACAGCTTGTCACAGCTGGTCACGACTTGGCACATGACCATTGTCACAGCTTGCCCAGAACTGGCAGGCAATGCCACTGCGCTTGGACCACAGCGCTGGGGTTGGGGCAGCAGATAGCCTGGTAGCAACAGCCGTGTCAGCCAGTGACCATCACCGACCGTTCTCAATGCATTACCTAACCTACATATCACAGCCGTAGACACTGGATGAAATAGATTCATATAGATTCTGTTTCTTTGACAGATTTGGCAGGGCAAGTCGCCGCGCCTGCATTCCTGGCTGCAGACCCTGGAAAGGGGGGTAGGGCCACAACCCAAAGTCGTGGTCAGCAGCTGCTTGGCACCAAGGGACCAGGGGCAAAACTAGGCTTTCTTTGGCTCTGGTCAGTGTGAAGGCCATAAGCCATGCACGTTTTTCGTAGTTTTGAGTTGGTATGCACAGTGATTGAAAAAGAATTTTAGTTGGACTCCCTGCTACGTAAAGTCAAGGGACACGTTGGAGACTCTACAAAACCAGACTCGCGTGCCTCAACTCTTGCGAGTCCGTTGATTGTAGAGGCAACAAAACACTGAGACATCAGAAGGAGACCACGAGAATTCTGCAAAGGGGAGAATCTTGAGAGTCCTTACAGCTCTTGCATTTGTTTGTAACGATTGTACATGATTCTACCGATTCTACCATATGATTCCACAACAGAAGCTGAGAAGCAAGATCCTCGCAGCTTCCTGTTTTGGGATACGGATAGCCCCGCTTTGACCTGCATAAGTTACATTACATTATTTACATTGTTTATGCAAAAGTATGCATAAGATTGCAGAAGTCGAATTGGGAACGGAAGTGATGCCAGTTGTATTTCTACCTCTGAGGTTGTGTTTGTGCAGCGATGGCACAAAAGGTGAGCATTGTTGTGACTGTTTGCGATCAAGAGACAATGCGCATGCCAGCCAAAAACATGAAATAGTGCTAGAAGCAGACAAACACACAATTTCTGATTTGAGTTGTTTGATAGCGGACAGATCGCAAGATCCTTGAATTGGCCCAGTCTCCTCAGCATGGTTTGCTAGCATTTGCTCATCATAGGGTCTATCTTCCCTTTTCAAATTCACCAAAAGACTACGTAGAACTGATCAACATCAACTGAAGGAATGCACCCCTTTCTGGAGTTTGCTTCCCGAAGTTTCACATTTTGCCCTTCATGCTTTGCCGCGCCAGATTACTTGCCGACCATTGAAAGGGGACACCTTTGATGTTGAGGTGAACGGAGAGGCAAAGCCTTTTGCAACTGAGCTGCGGGGTGACAAGCAGCAAGCAACCTGACATGTGACCCGACATGTGGCCTGAGATGCCGTCTATAACACCTGGCAACACAGAATCTCCAGTCCGATCCAGTTTTGAGCTGCAGGCGTCAGTAGCAGATTTGAAAAAGGCTATCTCCGAGAAGCATTCAGAGCCACAATCTTAGGAGTTCTCAACGGTGTATTGTGTGGCAGCTTTATCGTTGAACTTTTGCATAAGCTACGACAAGCACATATATATATATATATATCAAGATTTCCAGGGCCCAGGGCCATTCATATTGGAAGTAAGAGAGCATGGTTCTATCAGGAAGCTAAAACTCGTAAAGAAATGGTGTATTCCACCCTAGTTCTTGGCAGTGTTTTGTAGCAGTAGCAGTCCATAGATTCACGAATCATGTCACGCACACAATCCTGCAGATGTATGTCTTTTGTGGATTCGTGAATTCATGTGCCCTGAATCTTAGGATGCCAGCAGATCAACAAAAGCTGATCCACCAGGGAAAGATCTTGGACGACAAGACCGCAGTGAAGGCTTGGAAGTTTTGACATCGAATCGTCGACATCACAACGATCCGAATACATTGAATCATTGAATACAGCTTTTCGATGCATCTTCGATCTATTTCGATCTATGTCCTGGAGGATATTGGCATCAAGGAAGGTGAGTTCGTGGTGGTGATGGTGGCCAAGGTGGGGGAGGTTGCAGAATCTTTGACGCCATTCAGAATTCGCATATTCTCCCGTAGAGACGTGGAATATCACAAAATATCACATTTTCAATGATTGGAGTCTTTGTGTTTTGTTTGCCTGATTTGGACTTTGCACGTTCATTGAAGGCAGTTTTTGTATTCGGTCTAGCTCTTTCTTTGGGTTCCACCACGAGATTTGGTGTTTTTTCTTGGCAAAGAGCAAAAGGTCTGGACATTGTATTGACCATTGAGTTTTAGTTTCGAGTCAGTTGAATACATATATATAGATATAATAATAATAATAAATAATAATAATTAAATAATAATATATAATCATTAATAATAATAGTAATAAATAATTAATAATAACAATAATAAATAAGACTACAAATGATAATATATAATGATAATAATAATAGTAATAACAATAGTAATATATAATATATAATTTATAAGAACATGAAAGATAGTGGAACTTGACTAGTCTCTTTCTGATTTATTTGTGTTTTCATGATTTTTCATGTGTGTTTGATTCCGAAGTGAAGAAGTGCAGTGCCTTTGGCCCTTGGCGTTCAGGCCAAACCTCCTGCAGCACCTGCTGCACCTGCGGCGCCTGCGCCTGCACCTGCTGCGCCCACTCCAGTGCCATCAGGACAGACGAAAGAAATGAAGGGGGCTACAAGTAGTTTCATTATGTGTTACATCATATGTTTAAAATATCAAAAGTAATGAAAATATAGGGGTTTCATCATGTTTCATCCATTTCTTGCTATTTTAAACACTATAGTTTCATTTTTTGTTTTTAACTTTTATAATAATAGTTTTTGTCCAATGTCTTTTTAAATGATCTCAAGTGATGTTTCAGCTGTGCGATTTCTTAATCAGTTTGCCGTGGTCTTGAGTTTCTTCAAATCTTTAAATAAATTGTTTGATTCCATTTTTCACATATCAGAAAATTGGTGCACAGAAGACTTGGCAAGAGTTCTTCCTGTGTAACCTGGCAGGTCCTTCGCCGGGTGTGGACGCTGGTGCTGTGAGGGAGCTTAGCTTTCAGTATCTTTCAGCCTTTTTTGAGTCTAAAAGGACTTGCTTAGGGTGAAAGTTGAACGCAGCAATTCACAGCAATTCACAAAATGTACCATTTTACAGTGTGCAACTTTCACCGATGCGTATCTGACGCATCTCACACGTTGACTTAGCTATCCATTATCTGGAGATATTATCTTAGCTCAGGCTGAGCTCAGGATTAGCTCTTATATATCTTATATATAGGCTTAGCTATGCTTAGCTGCTTAATGCTGCTTAGCAACGACTTAGCATCTTAGCATATCTTAGCTGCGCTTAGCTGCATAGCTGGCATAGCTCTTGCTTAAACGACTTGATACGACTTGCATAGCTCTCATAGCTCCGGTTTTCGCTCTTGCCCAGGCTGGGGCTGCCACTGTGGTCAGCGGGGCCGCAGCAGAAGCGCCCGAAACTCAGGGGTTACAAACCAACAGCAAACCAACAGATCCAACAGCAAATAACGTAATAACATGTAATAAGAATATCATGAAGCAATTTGATTACGAATTCAAATATGCCTATGTAGTCTTTACATGTTTTTATAATGCACACACTGGACATGTAAGATGCAACTTCAAACAAAGTCTCAATGGTTGAAAATAACAATATAGGTGATACGCATTTACTCTGATTTGTACGCATTGCTACATTTACATTGTTAGATGTTGTACGGCTACACGTACTGAGAATCTGTAGATATTTTACATTTTTTTTTCAATCCTTCCATTTCTGGGCTTCGACATGCTTACACTATTTTACACTATCTTACTTACACTCCAGATTGATGGCACGTGTCTTTTGAACGATTTACAAAATTTACTTTGCTCAGGACCGTGCAGCAGCTCATGGAGATGGGCTTCGAAAGACCACAAGTGGAACGCTGCCTACAGGTGCCGATGCCACAAACTCGCAACGATCTTTGTGTAGACATCTACTGTACGTTAGATCATATTAGACTTATTAGACCCTTCAGATTCCTTTAGTTACTCCAAACTCTGTTTTGTTGATATCATGGGTCGTAGCACAGGCAGCCTTTGGAAATCCAGACAGAGCTGTGGAATATTTGATGTCTTGACCTCAGTTTTTGTGCAACGATCAGTCCGAGCAGATTTGCAGTCCATTTCGAGAAGGAATGATTCATGCCGTTGATTCCTGTTCAAAGTTTACACCCTTTTACAACCTTTGCGCGGTTTACGTTGTTCACTAACGCAGTTTACGTGGTTTACATTTGACACCTTGGACTCCGAGGAGCGGCATCCCTGCGGGGCTCATGGTATGGGCCTTGTTCAACGAGACGAGAGAAGTTCAGGGCGTCACTGAGTCGAGATACGAGATATGTCGAGATCGAGACTCGGGTGATTTTGGACACTTTGGACACCAGGCAGAGGAAGGAACTGCTCCTGGAGCTCCACCTGAGGGTGCTGCTGGTGGTGCCCCACCAGCTTCCGGAGGTCGAATTCCAATCAGAACTTGGGATCGTGGAACCATGGGGAGCCAGTTTTATATCAATGAACATTGATATATATATATATATAAATATGTACATATGTATATATACAATTATATTTTGACATATATTTATGTTTTAGATCTATGTGTGTATATATATATAGATATACATACATATTGATACATTAACATTAATTTATATATATGTTTTTATTATCTCTATGTGACATCATGACATCTGTTTTCCACCGTGAATCTTATGTTTGTTTATTTCTGTTTGGTTGTGAGAGTCTTGGTTGATGGATGACCTTGGAACACCTCGGAACAGATTGGAACACCTTGGAATAAGTTGGACCAAAAGCACAGGTGGCATGGCCCCCAGCCCAGCGATGACTGGAGCTTTCCCAGCGATGCCCACTGGCGCTGGGGGAGGTGGAGGCGGAGGCGGAGGCCCGGAGAGAACCGCGCAAGGTGACACGACGACACGACATGTGGCGCGACATGTGACAACTGTGACAATCATAATCAAGTCGCGGTCATACTCTATGATTCAAGGTGGACCGAACACTTTGCTCCACTCGCCCATTCAAAAATCACCATAGCCACTGTGCCTGCTGAAGCCTAACTTCGAAATATGCCTTCAAGGCATTTCAAGACTCTTTAAGGTTGAATAGGTATGAATAGGTATGAATAGGTATGAATAGGTATGAATAGGTATGAATAGGTATGAATAGGTATGAATAGGTATGAATAGGTATGAATAGGTATGAATAGGTATGAATAGGTATGTATGAATAGGTTGAGAGTTGAAACATTTGGACTCATGCGGCAAGGGAATGTGGCAGCCTTGGAGGAGCTGAGAAATCATCCACGTCCGTGCCTCGATTCTTTGGTGATTTGGCAGTTTGGTCTCACTGCAGTTGGCAATTTGCATCACGAAACGTGGTGTGCATTGATATTGATTTATTGATTGCTTGATTCAATTTGATTCCCTTCCAAGATCTTCCAAGTCCATCCACCAAAGCCCTGCCGCCCTCTGGATCCTCTGGTTTGTCGCCGAAGACAGTCTCTGCACTTTGGCTCGGTCAGGCTTTGGAGAGCTGCAGCAAGCGGTGGCTGCAAATCCGCAGGCCACCCAGCTATAGATGATCACAGTTTAATTTCGAAAAAAAAAACACAGGCAGTTCACCAGAACAATACAAAAATGGAGGCTAAAAGGTCAAAGGGTACAAAGGCTAAGCGAAAACAATAGAAACCAGCCTTAGAGTTGAGACATGTTTTGACATCTTCAGACATTTTCATGAAACCGTGCGCAACAGATGCTTCCGCAAATTTTGATGGCGCTGGAGCACAGCAGTGGAAGGCTTAGGAAATCGACTAGCGAGAGATGACAAAAAGAGTGCCTTTTTTGTCAGGGAATGACAGGCGCTGGAACCGATGGGGTCATCGGTCAACATCCGCTTAGAGCTTCACCATGACACGGTGTTGATTTCTTCACAGCGCCATTTGATCCGTGCTTAGATCCTGGACTGGTGCAAGTGATCCGAGAAAATCCAGAAGCCTTCATGCGATTGCTGTCCGTCGCTGGGCTTGAGTTTGGTGTGACATGCGTGGCAGGGAAAAGGCATCTGGACAATGGGAACCAGTGCAGTCTATGACAAGCATTGCTGTCACGAGCAAAAACCTGTCAAATTGCAAGCGTTTCTATCATTTCTATCTTTGAGAGCAAGTGGCAGGACCTTTGTGTGACCTCTTTTGAATAGGCAATGCCATGTTTTCGAATGTTTTGACATGTTTTCCATGTTTGGTTTCTGATGATTTCAGGGTGGAGGTGGAGGTGCCCAACAAGATCCGGTGGCAGCTATGTTGGCAGCTGCCCAGGGCGGTGCACCTGGAGGACCCCCGCCTGGTCAGCAGGCCAGTCGTTGTGTAGCACAGACTTTATCGGACGACCTAAAACAACCTAAACATGATTTCAACATGATTTCAACATGATTTCAACATGATTTCAACCTGATTTCAACATGATTTCAACATATCTCAACACATGTCAACATATTTCAACATGTTTCAACCTGATTTCAACATGTTTCAACATATCTCAACACATGTCAACATATTTCAACATGTTTCAACATATTTCAACATGTTTCAACATATTTCAACATGTTTCAACATATCTCAACACATGTCAACATATTTCAACATGTTTCAACATATCTCAACACATGTCAACATGTTTCAACATGTTTCCACATATTTCAACATGTTTCAACATATTTCAACATGTTTAAACATATCTCAACACATGTCAACATGTTTCAACATGTTTCAACATATTTCAACATGTTTCAACATATCTCAACACATGTCAACATGTTTCAACATGTTTCCACATATTTCAACATGTTTCAACATATTTCAACATGTTTCAACATATCTCAACACATGTCAACATATTTCAACATGTTCAACATGTTTCAACATATCTCAACACATGTCAACATGTTTCAACATGTTTCAACATGTTTCAACATATTTCAACATGTTTCAACATATCTCAACACAGGTCAACATGTTTCAACATGTTTCAACACATTTCAACATGTTTCAACATATTTCAACATGTTTCAACATATCTCAACACATGTCAACATATTTCAACATGTTTCAACATATTTCAACATGTTTCAACATATCTCAACACATGTCAACATGTTTCAACATGTTTCAACATATTTCAACATGTTTCAACATATTTCAACATGTTTCAACATATCTCAACACATGTCAACATGTTTCAACATGTTTCAACATATTTCAACATGTTTCAACATATCTCAACACATGTCAACATATTTCAACATGTTTCAACATATTTCAACACATGTCAACATGTTTCAACATATCTCAACATGTTTCAACATATTTCAACATGTTTCAACATATTTCAACATGTTTCAACATATCTCAACACATGTCAACATATTTCAACATGTTTCAACATATTTCAACATGTTTCAACAAATGTCAACATATGTCAGCATATTTCAACATATATCAACACATGTCAACATCTGTCAACATATGTCAACATATTTCAACATCTGTCAACATATGTCAACATTTGTCAACATATTTCAACATATGTCAACATATGTCAACATATGTCAACATACGTCAACATATGTCAACATATGTCAACATATGTCAACATATCTCAACATATTTCAACATATTTTAACATATTTTAACATATTTTAACATATGCCAACATAGGTCAACATATGCCAACATATGTCAACATATTTCAACATATTTCAGCATATTTCAACATATTTTCGCATGTTTCAACATATGTCAACATATTTCAACATGTGTCAACATTTGTCAACATCTGTCAACATATGTCAACATATTTCAACATATGTCAAAATATGTCAACCTATGTAAACATATGTCAACATATGTCAACATATGTCAACATATGTCAACATATTTCAACATATTTCAACATATTTTAACATATTTCAACATATTTTAACATATTTCAACATATGTCAACATATTCCAACATATTTCAACATATTTAAACATATGTGAACATATGTCAACATATTTCGACATATTTCAACATATGTCAACACATGTCAACACATGTCAACAAATGTCAACATATGTCAAGATATTTCAACATATTTCAACATATGTCAACATATGTCAACATATGTCAACATATGTCAACATATTTCAACATATCTCAAGATATATTTCAACATATTTCAACATATTTCAACATATTTCAACATATGTCAACATATGTCAACATATGTCAACATATGTCAACATATTTCAACACATTTCAACATATTTCAACATCTGTTAACATCTGTCAACATGTGTCAACATCTGTTAACATCTGTCAACATGTGTCAACATCTTTCAACATCTTTCAACATTTTTCAACATATTTCAACATATTTCAACATATTTCAGCATATTTCAACATATGTGAACATATGTGAACATATGTCAACATATTTCAACATATTTCAAAAGATGTCAACATATGTCAACATATGTCAACCTATTGCAACTATTGCAACTATTGCAACCTATTGCAACCTATTGCAACCTATTCCAACCTATTTCAACCTATTTCAACCTATTTCAACCTATTTCAACCTATTTCAACCTATTTCAACCTATTTCAACCAATTTCAACCAATTTCAACCTTTTTTTAACCTATTTCAACCTTTTTCAACCTTTTTCAACCTTTTTCAACCTATTTCAACCTTTTTCAACCTATTTCAGCCTATTTCAACCTATTTCACCATTTTTCAGCCTATTTCAACCTATTTCAACCTTTTTCAACCTTTTTCAACCTATTTTAACCTATTGCAACCTATTTCAACCTATTGCAACTATTGCAACCTGTTGCAACCTATTGCAAACTATTGCAACCTATTTCACCCTATTTCAACCTATTTCAACCTAAGTCAACCTATTTCAACATATTTCAACATATTTCAGCATATTTCAACATATGTGAACATATGTGAACATATGTCAACATATTTCAACATATTTCAACAGATGTCAACATATGTCAACATATGTCAACATATGTCAACCTATTGCAACTATTGCAACCTGTTGCAACCTATTGCAACCTATTTCAACCTATTCGAACCTATCCCAACCTATTTCAACCTATTTCAACCTATTTCAACCTATTTCAACCTATTGCAACCTATTTCAACCTATTGCAACCTATTTCAACCTATTTCAACCTATTTCAACCTATTTCGACCTATTTCAACCTATGTAAACCTATTTCAACCTATTTCAACCTATTTCAGCGTATTTCAACCTATTTCAACCTATTTCAACCTGTTGCAACCTATTGCAACTTGCAACCTATTGCAACCCATTTCAACCTATTTCAACCTATTTCAACCTATTTCAACCTAAGTCAACCTATTTCAACCTATTTCAACCTATTTCAGCGTATTTCAACCTATTTCAACCTATTTCAACCTATTTCAACCTATTTCAACATATTTAAGGGCTGCCGCCCCTGCCGCCGACCCCGGAAGAATTGGCAAGCCGTCAGAACGTATATATGGTACAGGCCTGCACCCTCCCCCCAAAAAAATGGGGAAAGGATGTTCCTGGGACAGTTTTACACGCATTGTTGCCTGTTATGGTTTTTATGTTAAAGGGGAACGTGCGTTCCTTGGTGTTGATGTTTTTTGTGATGTATGTTGTAAGACATTTTTGGTAAAAACGTTTCATCCTAACCTTGTTGATTATTTTAGGGGAGTATCATTGATTGGGTCAGGATTTGTTGAGGTTGTTAGGGTTTTAAAGTTTTCATTTATTCAACTAAGATTTGAAAAGAAGGGAATGTATCATTAAGATTGTCTATTATTTCTTGATGACTTAACGGTTCTGTCACTTCTTCATTGTTTGATTGTTTTTGTGTTTTTCCATTATCTTTTTG